AAGTTGATTTGGAGGCCCGTTCGATTTCCTCATGCGCAACTACTAGAACACTCGGTCATTCAAACCGGGCGTATTGACAAGATGAAGTTTCTGACCACAAATCAGAATTTGTCTAGAAATTCCGTAAAAGAAGTTCTCTGACTTCATAACCTTCGACCAGCTACCCTTGGGAGCCCTGACCTAAATCCCATGAATGTCTCAATGTGGTCAGCCTCTGAGATGAAAGCATCCTTTAGCCCAAACAAGAGAAGAAATGATCTCGGTGGATAGCAAAAAGCCGGGATCAGTTCGATGACCTCAACTGCGTGCCACCAACAATGTCGTTCATCGTCGTCTCTGGGGTTGGGGGAAAGCAGAAAGCATCAGTTTCAGTGTACCTTTTTGGTAAAAGTTTAGTGATAAACACTTTCTGAGAATTCGTTTTCGGGGATATGACGTCTGTGTTAAATAATTTTGGCCCATCCTGTACATTCAAAAGTTTTTGTCTGTACTCAAGTGCGGAAAACCGACCGGCAGAGGGAAAAATGATTAAGCACAGAAGGAGATAATCCCTTGAATTCGCCCACGTCTTGGTACATACATTGTGGCTATTAACCATCACACACACCGTCACTCACGTTTACACCAACGCACCGTCTCGGGTTGCGCCATGTAGTTCACTGAACAGCACGGAATCCTTATGGGGAAGCAACCTTACTAAGCGATTTCTGAGCTTTGATAGAGTCAGTTATTGGAATAATATGATTTCGTGGTCATCTTTAAGACTTACAAACAGTCCGAAACGATAGTCTATTTGTATTTTGTACATATCAATAATTTTTCCAGCATCCTTGCATTGATCGCTTGCTGTTTGGGAATTGGACGAGTGTGGAGCAGCCGGAAAGTGAGAGATCGTCCTGAAAATGTGTGAGCACTATGTGTCCGGTGAGACTATCAACAAGGAGAAGGACTACCACAAGAGCAATGCGAAAAACTGCTGCCGACTGGAAACGATCCGAATGCGGTCGGTGAAGGGTCACTTACCCTTCGACAGATGCATTGCGAAAAATCTTTCGAAGATTTTCGGTAGTATTCGTAGTAATAATATTAGAGTTTATGAAACTCTAGAAGTAGGGATATTGTGAGAGTGAGGATAGCTCCACCTATTGGGGGAGAGTTATACCCAAACTAGAGATAAGCTGTTAACCATACATATCACTTGCGTGATGGCGGTGGTAGTTGTTCGTTTTCTATTGATCGATGTTGTAAAAAATGTTTATATAATAGTTTTGTTAGATAAATAGGCGAATTGAGGAATTTCATTTGAAGTTGTGTAGCTACTCTGTAGTCCGTTCGTTAAGATGTGTGAATCTAAATGTAATCTACAATTTAATTGGAATATCAAATTTTCTTATGTTCCCAGCGAATCAGATAAGACAGATTAGCTAAAAATGGCGAACGAATGAAGAAAAAAAAGGCCTCACAAATCTCATTATAGCAGTACCTCTTACCTTAGGTACAGGAGGTCATGTCAGGTGTCGGTATGGCGACTTCGCTGTGACCGTAAGCGTCCTGTCAGTAAAAGTTCCTGTGTCGAATTGCCCGTGTTCTTAGCGCTGAGCTCGATGTTATTTCCAAACTTCGTGGGCGGTAATTCAGTTGGAGTTTCGATAATTTTGTCGCTAAACCTCACAGAAAGCGGTACTTGTGTCCCTGTAGTCAATGGGGCATGTCTAGTT